CTAGTTAAACACCAAATCCATTCTAGTTATTATTTGTCAATGAGTTAATGGTAATCATTTAATATTTTGTCCTATTATGTTTTGGTACTCACATAATTGAATATAAATAGTATTTACCTATACCTACTTAGTTAATTTTTGTCATTAATATTTAAGTACAATTAAAGTAGTAGTTCTTTTTATACATTGGTGTACTATAATCAATAAATATCCCTTGCACAGTGGGCTAGTTAGTTAGTCAGAAATAATTATATTCTTAAGTGCTTTCATTACTTTTTTTTTTAGATTTTGGAGACTGATCCTATATCCCTAAGGCGCCAGGAACAACGACGGCACCAAAAGAGATTAAGGAAGGTGGCCTTGTGCTAGGAGGTGCTTGTCTAGGCCGCTCTGTAGATTTATTCTGTCCGAGGAGATATCCTTGGCAGAAAAGTTTATGAATAACTAATGGGTGGACGTAAACAAAAGCTGGTAGTGAGTTTTAAGATAAATTTGATACTCTGTAACAATAATGAATGTTAGTTTCGAGAGATTTTTGAGATTTCTCAAATGACTTTATTTGTAGGTTACAAAAAAATGTTACAATCTCTATATTGCCCAGCTGTGTCTTGCCATCAACGGCGAGTAATACGTGTATTATTTATTGACGGAAACACTAAGCGTTTTCGTAGATACTACATACATACAGACACACAGATACATAGGTAGTCTACACTTCTTTTCTTCTTCAGTTCAAGTAGATAGTCTTCTCTCCCTTTCTCGCGCGGTGAGGTAGGCCCAGCGCACACCGGTAGTGACGCTACGAAGATACTGAGAATTAATCAATCATGGCGTTTTCATCCGTATGCCAAAGCAGTTAAGGTTTATTTTAAATTGAATTATTCTCAGTATCTTCGCCGCACCTCCGCGCTCCGCCGGTGTGCGCTGATCCTTTGAATGAGAAGACAATACATATTTATGTTTCTATCTCTGCGTGCGTCTGGGCACATCCTGTATCCCCACTCCTTGGCATCCCGGCTTGAGCAAACTGTTACAGCGCACACAAAGTATCATTCCTGTTTGAAGTATCGCAACGATCGCACGATCAGTTGAAATCAGTGCTGTGTACAACTCGAACTACGTAAAAATTATTAAGTAGAATTGTAGATTAAATATTTTAATTGTAGTTAGAGTAGTTAAAATTAGAAAAAATGGACCGAGATTTTTCAAATGCCGAAATCTTGGTCCAATTTCTAGAAAACCTTTTATTCGTATTTAGGTTACTTGGCATTCGATATTTTATTGTGGAAGTGCATTTTGAGAGAGACAATCATGATTTTGAATTAGCGGACATTAACGAAGGAAGTGAAGTGGACAGTGGATATGATACTGGAAATGACAGTGATTAGTGGACTCAGTTATAAATTATAGTTATAGTTTTAATTAATTGATTATTTATTATCGATATTTTTATTTTTATTATTTAATTATAGTGTAGTTATTTAATGTTTATAGTATACATAGTTATTTAAATATATGGTTTTTAGTTTAAATTTATTTTCTGATGATGAATTGGTCCCACAAACGTACCTAAGAGTACATAACTGTGGGACTGATACTGAAGAAAATATTAATTTTAGTTTTGAATATGTTTTTGTTGTATAAATTGTAGGTTTCCGTAATATTTTAATCATAAGTATTTTGTAATTTTTATTTAAGTAATTGAACTTAGGTATATGTATTTATAATTTTAGATTTATAACTTTTATAATTTAATTTTAACAGTTTTAGTCTTAATGTTTTGTTTGCTAGGCTTTTAGATTATTTAGATTTATTGGCTGTAAATATTTATTGTCATTTCTGTATTATGTTTAATTTAGTTTGTAAGCTTTACCTTATGTTAAACAAAATTGTGGATAATCAATATGAAAATTATAATTATTTTGTGGACAATGATTCAGACTTTGAATAGTGAATTCAGTAGTGAAACTATAGTGAATATGGAAACTATAATGATATCTAGTGATTAGTGTAAAAAATATTATATAGTTTTAAAGTAATTAGTTTATTTAGCATTAATTTTAATAGTTTAATTTAGTTTTAATTGTTAGTTTTATTTGTAAATATTTAATATTTGTATTAGCACGTAAGTTAGTTTTAAGTGTTTTATTGTAATGACTTTTTTGTTTGTAAAATATTGTGTATGTAAATATTGATTTTGTGGCAACACAGAATACATCGCGACCAATGAGGACGTCGCGCGGTCGTAAGCCACTAAGATATGTTGAGTAAGATAGACAGAGAAGAAGATATGTTGACTGAAAACCTTCTCTCATATGTGGCGCCCTAAAGTGTTTTTTCGTGAGACAATAGTGTGCACGTGCCCCCAGTGAATATCCTGCAGAAATCATGGCTGTGACGAGGAGCACAGCGGCCAGCTTAAGTCGGAGAGATGATGCCAACGTTGGATTCCCCGACCTCACGCGACCAAACTCGCCGCCCGTGGCGTCGTCCATTTCACGAGCACAAGATGGCGACGACACCTTTGCGCCGCATGCCGAAGCGAACGCCACGTTTACGAATGAAAACGTGGCCTCTATTATATTGTCTCTCCAACGGTCTCAAACAGAGGCATTCAAAGAGTTGCTTATCTCGGTATCGCGAGCAAACACTCCCAATCTAGATGTACTAGGGCAGAGCACCCTAGCTCGCTGCAGAGCAACGAGTAACATCGAAGATTCTTTTGACGGAAAACCTGCCACTGTGTCTACAATGCCATCAACTTCGCCGTCTACGCAGTCCACCAGTCGCGCCTCCACGCGTGATAGCACACGCGCGCAGCAGGCAGCGCCTAAAGCGCCCAATCTCGCCGCGCCGCAGAGCGCACCCACGCCGCCGCAGCGCGCGCCCCCGGCTGCGCCTAAAGCGCCCATTCTCGCCGCGCCTTCGCTTCGCTTTATGTATTTATGTATTAATCGTGGTTTGTTATGTAATTATGTACCTAATTCATGTTTTTTTGAACTGAATAAATATTTTAAGAAAGTATGTTTTTTTTTATTATAATATAATGTAATACCAACATGACCATCATATTTTATTTAATGTGCCTACCACTACAACATTTTTATTTACATTAAAAACCTAAATATAATCACGATTTCACACAAGTAGTTTTCTTTGCCATGTCTTCCAAGTATCATTACAAGGCTTGAAACTATTAGTACAAATATACAGCTTACTCATCTTATCTTATATCTTATACTATTATATAAAGCGGAAGAGTTTGTTTTTTGTTTGTATGTCTGAACGGGCTAATCTCCGTAACTACAAGTCTGATTTAAATAATTATTTTTGTGTTGGATAGCGCATTTATCGAGGTCGGCTATAGGCTACAAAAATCACGCTACGACCAATAGGAGCTGAGCAGAGCCTGTGAAACCGCGCGGAAGTAGCTAGTGTTAATTAATAAAATTAGTTATAGGAGATAATCTTTGCTATTTTCAAGTATAACTTTTTTATTTTCTAAAACGTTGCCCAGTATCGTGGGTGCATTTACAAACAAACAAGTTCACCTACACATGATACCCTGACCCGGAAAAACAATTTGTGGATCGCACAAAGAATTGCATGCGGGAAACGAACCCGCGACACGTTGCACGCCAACGGTGCAGTCTTTTCATTTGAATGAATTAAATTGTTTTACATTATTATCTTACTATTACCACAGTCTATACAGTCGTCCAACGAAGACGTCTAGATAGGGCAATCGTGCGGGGTGTGAAGGGCGAGACGGGGGTAGGCCGATCCCGAGTTGCGAACACAACAATGTTAGCAGCTCGGGATATATTATTCAGGGCTAACGCGTGTTTGTTTTTACCGACTTCAAACAAAGGAGGAGGCACTATGTTCGAATGATTGTTTCGTTTCTATATCAATTTATCGTTATGGATGTCGTTATCATGGTTTTCGAGAGTGGTGAAAATGATGGTGCTACCAAAATGTAAATCCAAGGAACTAAATTAGTACTGATGAGTTACTCACCCACTGACCGACTTCTAGTCGGTGTCGTAAGCTCATATTTTTGACAACCCTGGCCGATGCGTTACTGTCTAGACGATGTCGACATTTTTTTTTTTTTTTTTTTTTTTCTTTATTCAGGAAACAGACAGTCTCTTACAAATAAAATTATTAAAATACAATGTGATACATACAGACCTAGAGTTCCATAAAACAATAAAATACGAAAAGGCACTGTTTTTAAAGGTGTCAAATCAGTAATATAAATTAAAAAAAGAAAAGAATTACAGAGATAAAGTTTTTAAAATGATAAACTAATTTACATTCTTATAAAGTGACCGTGATATAATTCCCTTCCTAGCTCTGAGAATATTTCTATTGACATTTTCCACAAGAACAAAGTTATCGTCCTACTGTATATTTTTTATACTGTGCTATTACTATAGATGCAAAAGTTTGTGTGTTTGTATGTTTATAACTCAATTACGTCAAAACCGCTGAAGGGGTCGTGATGAAATTTAAGAAAGAAAAGAAAGAAAAAACATTTATTTAGCACCAGGCACGATGCAGCATAAAAAAAAGACAATCAAGATGTGACAGAATTTAGAACAAGAGTAGATTATAGTCTAGAATAAGACATAGGCTATACCTTTCATGACATAGGAACGCGGGCGAAGTCCCTGGCAGACGCTAGAACATAACATAAAATAACATCACGCCTTTTATCCCCGAAGAGGTAGGCAGAGGTGCACATTATACCACTGTACAATCTAACACCCACTTTTCACTCTTTATGTTATAAGTCCCATGTAATAGGGGGTGAGCCTATTGCCATATACCGGGCACGATTCCAGACTCCGTGCTACTACTTAGATTTTTTTTAAATCCAGTGATACTTTGCCCGACCCGGGAATCAAACCCGAGACCCCTTGCCCAGCAGTCGCACTTACGACCACTCGGCCAACGAGGCAGACGCTAGAAGACAAATAAAAATCATGAGCATTTTATTCATCTAATTTATTTAATTTACATTTGTCCAGTACTTCAAATATATTCAAAGATTCGCCATTAGGGATCCCATAGCCTTTATCTAAGCCGTGTGGATTAGATGGAGTCGTACAGTTGAGATTCGATTCTTTTCTTAGTACTTGATCAACTTCCACCGCTGTGAAGAAAGCTACTGACAACGGGAGATCATTTATTCCAACCCTGAAATTAAATAAAATTTTTGTATGAAAAAACAGAAGCAAGTATACTATTTCAATTGTTTAACAGCATTTAGTACGAAGCACAGGCTTTGAAACGATATTAATTGTTCGTCGAGTGAGTGAGGTTATCGGAGGCCCATCTTACCTCCTCCTTCCTAATTCTCCCCAAACCCCAAATACCCCACAATCCTCAATCCCCAAAAGGCTGGTAACGCAATTATAACGCCGCTGGTGTTCCAAGTTTCCATTAGCGACGCCGATTGCTTACCATCAGGTGATCCGTTTGCTCGTTTACTTATTCCATAAAACATTGAAACTTGGTACTAATACTCAATATATTAAGGTCGAAAATGTTTTAACTGACTTTTTAGACTATGATATGGCACGTAAACGCTCTAACTAGTTTTTGACTTCGAACTAAAACTACTTTAAAGCGAAATAAAACTTGGAAAGCAATCATGCTTTGATGCATTTGCAAGCTATTAACATAAACCAAAGCTAGCAATTTTACATCAAGGCAAAATAGTTTAAATAATTATTATAACAAAGTATAAATTCGTAATACCGTTGTGAACAAAACGCTCTTGTCAGCAGATTAGTTATTTGAAGTGCTAGCGCTGTTTCATATTTATATTCATCAGAAACTAGATATCTGACCTCATCGTGGAAACTTAGGCAGAACCTGCAAAGAGAATCATTCTTTATTACTTGGCTTTTTTTTCATGGGGGAAAATCATCGAATGACTGCTCCCGCCTGGGTGAGGCGGGAGGGAGTGTCAGACTTTTACTGACTAAAAACCACCCGGTTCCTTCTCATGCAACTGGTAACCCGTTAAGTTCTCCGCGACTTATTACTTGGCATAGTATCACATATGCCGGAATACTGAAACGTTACTCATTTTTAAGTCGTGCATAAATATCGTGCCATCTCTGTCATTTTACAAAGAATTTGTAGTGACAGAGCTATACTTAAGTGCAACTTAAAATTGTAAACGTTTGAATATTTTAGCGTAACTTAAAATTGAGTAGCGTTTGCGTATTCCGACAATAATGTGTGAGATTTTAGGTATCGTAGCAAAGTTAATAACTATTTTCAATACCATTACCATACCATACCATTTTGGATTTAAAGCTATTATATTTTCGGTTGAAAGTCAAGGAATATTGACAAGAAAGACGGTTTAAAAATTAACTGAAACATTTCAAACAATAGTTCATTTCTTTCAAACAGGTAGTAAAACTGTTTAAAATATGACAAAGGTAATAATAAAAACGTCTTTAAACGAAAACAAAGCGCACAAAACACTAGTCCCCAGACCTCGACTTTTGTTATGTAACAATACCTTATGGTTAAGCATTTGACTAGACAAATGGTTTCCGAAATCGGGTATTCAGTTGAGAAAAGTACCATAAGTTGTAATCCTTGTTTGAATTACCTTATTCACCATGAACAAAAAGCTTAGCAATATAAGAACAAAAATTCTGTGGGTCTTGTTTTTGTTGTTTAAATATTTATTTATGTTACCATTCACATCAGTCAGACTGAAAGAATAGGGTAGTTTTCTAATTTCTATTTTAATGTCCGTCTGGTACATTAATTTAAAACTTTAGACACGTATTTTATCTTTTTTCATAAAATTAAATACTTTCGACGATATATTAATTTGAAATATCGTGTGACGTCACAGCGTGCCACATTTTGTAGCACGTTATGACGTAACGACCTCCCACTCATAAACTTAACGCCATTTTTAACCGACTTCAAAAAAAGGAGGAGGTTCTCAATTCGACCGTATATATGCTTTTTTTTTTTTATATCTAAGTATTGCAACTTAGTACGAGAAAATAAAAAATACTTGTCTAATATTTTTTCATTATCTATCTGACGGACTAATAACATTTTTGAAAAAGAAAGAAAAATGAAATCGTTCGAATCGATTCGGATAATACTGCGAAAGTTATTTCTGTATGTTATTTTTTGGGACTCATGGTTTAACTATTTTAAATTAATATAAGTTTCTTACGCTTAAAAATTCAAACGTTTACAATTTTAAGTCGCGCTTATGTATAGCTCTGTTACTACAAATTCTTTGTCAAATGACAGAGACGGAACGATATATAAGTACAACTTAAAATTGAGTAGCCTTTCTATATTCAGACTAAAGATTATTAAATAAGTTAATTTAAAATAGTTTGTCTATGAATTTTAAATGTCTCTCCACTCAATCATTCAATCAATCTATAGATTTCGATTGATTTTTAACAGTTGTATTGAGTTTCTGTGTAAAACAGATCCATCCAGAGATTATGGATTTTTATCGGTTATTCATATCAACAGTTACTGAATACTTTGTACAATATCAGTATATTTAAAAAAAAGGAGATGTTCAACTTGACTTGTATGTATGTATGTATGTTTGTAAATGATTATCTCGCAACTGCAGTTCGCAGTTCTCAGAAAAGTGTTTGTTACACTTGGGAGAAGGACACTTGAATGCGCCGATATGAGACACAATAGAAAATACATTGTGTATCGCGTGGATCCACGATTAGACACATGGCGGGTTAATTAACTTTAAAAAAGATGGGTTTGAAGTGGGTTTTTAAACGCAGTTTATAAAACAATAAGGGTTTTTCAGTGTCATCCCTGGTAGTACTTTAGGGAACAGAGAGTATAGTTCCCTAAGATCGCAAAAGGAGGATCCTCCGACCAGACGAGGTGATCGTGCCTGGCGGGCTTTCTGCCCAACAGTTGTTTGTTGGGATTTTTCTACTCGTGTTAATTCGATTGTAAACTTCGCATGTGCGATGTAGGATTTTATGACGTCATCCGTTGACATGTGACATTTGTGTCGCCACAGAACCATCTTAATTTTTCTATCTCAAAGAAATGTTTCTGGGTACCTCGCCTTCGGTGCTAAATGAGCCATGCTAGCCAGCATAAGGTGTAAGAAGTCAGCGGCGGCGCTCTGCACGGCCCAGTTCAGTCGGGTGCCTCCCCATCGACCCTGAGCATGCTCCAGCGCGCGAGACAACCGACCTGATAGAAACGCCGTCGATGGACCCTCTGAATCTACGAAATATAAAAATAAATGTCGTTTATGTATGTGCTTGCGTTGTTTCACGTCGTGTGAGTGAGGTTACCGGAGGCCCAATTACCCTCCTCCCCTCCCCAGTCTCCCCAACCCTTAAATCCCCCACAATCCTCAAATTCCATTTCCAAAAAGGCCGGTAACGCACCTGTAACGCCTCTGGTGTTTCAGGTGTCTATAGGCGGCGTCGATTGCTTATCATAAGGTGATTCGTCTGCTCGTTTACCGTCTTATCCCAAAAAAAAATACCCCTGAACAGATCTAAATTACATTTGGCAAAGAGATAGTAGACTAAATTATAGTCTGAAATACGAACTTATTCTCCCTAAAGCGATTGAAGTTATAATCAAAATAGAATACTACATACCAGCAATTTCTTCTAACTTGTTGAACATGTCAGATTCAGTGCCTCCGACCCATTTTGGTTTCTCGAACATATCATCCAGTTTCTTCCCACTCATCTTTGCTAAACGCATCGCTTGATACGATGTCATTTCTACCACCTATAACAATAACCATATTTTATTAAGGACCAATTAAAATTGCGCAGAGTCGAAGCGCATCGAATCGTCTTTCCAAAACTGAACATAATAAATTCAACCTTAACTTTACAGGATTAACGCACACATTACTTCTGAGATTTTATAAAGTCACGCATATTCTTCGGAATTAATATGTGTTTTACGCTGTGGAGTTAAGGTTGAATTTTAAATGTCAAATTTTTGAAAGACTCTCCGATGTGCTTCGACTCTGCGTAAGTATAAATTGACCCTTGGGTTCCCTACAAAATATCATATTAACACTCTTTTTATTCCCCCAAAAGAGTAAAAAGAGGTACAAATTTGAAATATGAATTCAATTCCCGCGAATCCCCCACAATCTTCCAATTCCTAATTCGGAAAAGGCCAGTAACGCACTTGTAACGCCTCTGGTGTTTCAGGAGTCCACGGGCGACGCCGATTGCTCACCATCAGGTGATCCATCTGCTCGTTTACCGGCTTATTTCATAAAAAAATCTTACCAGTAATGCATGAATCCCGTATAATAGAGAAATTGATTGTTAAACAGTACACACCTAGCTGTTTGTTCGACGCAGGAATTGAATCCGCAATTATTTGTTTGGCGTTTGAAGTTACTAGTAGTGTTAAAATCCTAATAAAATATCGACTGAAATATACATTTTAAACGACAAAGTCATTTCATCAAATACCAAGTCATAGTACCCTTCACAAATGAAATCGAGTAGGTACTAAGGCTTTAAATGTGGTAGAGCCTTGCTTCGGCAGGAATGGGCTGGTTCGACTGGAGCGATACCACGGCCTCAGAGAAAACCATAGTGTAACAACGCTCGCTTTGTGTTTCATCGTGTGAGTGAGGATACAGGAGGCCCAATTACCCCCCCCCCCCCCCCTCCCCTTACCCAGTCTCTCCAATCCCCGAATCCCCCATAATCGTCAAATTCCCAATAGGCCGGTAACGCACTTGTAACTCTGTGCCTTTAGCCAAACGCCACTTTAGCGCTTGTCTACAGAGAGAGTAGAAATCAAAATGTATGGGGATGACACTGACAAGTGTCAAAATTGACGTCAATTCCATATAATTTGGTTTTCTATTCTATATGTAGACAAGCGCTAAATGGCATTGGGCTACAGCTGCTGGTGTTTCAGATGTCTATGGACGGCGCCGATTGCTTAACATCAGGGGATCCGTCTGCTCTTTTACCGACTTATCCCATAAGAAAGGCTTTTAGATATCATTACCTGTTCATCCAAATCTTCTTCCATGAAACCTTCCATATATTGCTTCTTGAGTCTATAGACGCGTCTCCCTTTGGTGGACGAGAACATTTTAGCTGCTTTACTCTTAGCTTCCGATACTGTCATCGTCGGATTAAACTGCTTTAACAATCTCTCAGCGAAATTTTGGCCAGCACCTTTAAATAAAAAACATAAATTATAGGGATTTTGGATAATTAATAGAACGAAATAAGTGACTTATTTATTTCATCATTCATCATCATCATCATTGGAATTGATTCATTTACTTCTGCTACTTCTGCTCAAACGATATCTACATACAGTCGTATGTTTTTTTCTATTATGTGATATGAGAGGAATATTATTAAATTACTGACTGCCTCGTTGTCGAGTGGTCGCAAGTGCGACTGCCGAGCAAGGGGTCTCAGGTTCGATTCCCAGGTCGGGCAAAAAATAACTAGGTTTTAAAAAAAAAATCCCAGTAGTAGGTGTCTGGAATTGTACCCGGTATATGGCAATAGGCTCATCCCCTATTACATGGGACTTATATCAGAGATACAGTGGTAGTTTCATTGTACAGTGGCATTTAGAGCCATAGTGTGCACCTCTGCCAACCCCTTCGGGGATAAAAGGCGTATGTTTTATTATTACTAAATTACTTATGTTTTACGGTTTACTGACGTATTGTTTGACGAGGTAACTGGACTAATTTCAAGCTATACGAAGAGCTTATATGTATGGGCGTTTTAAGTGACAAACGACGCGTTATGCGACGATCGGCGCGTGAAAAAATTGTGTAAGTAAGCCGTAGAACATAATTGACAAATAAAAGATACTATTATACTATTTACTATTATATAAAGCGGAAGAGTTTGTTTTTTTGTTTGTTTGTTTGAACGCGCTAATTTCCATAACTACAAGTCTGATTTGAATAATTCTTTTTGTATTAGATAGAGCATTTATCGAGGATGGCTATATCCTATAAAACATCACGCTACGACCAATAGGAGCTGAGCAGAGCGTGTGAAACCGCGCGGAAGTAGCTAGTAAAAAATAAGGACAAAAAATATTAAATTGAAGCTCACCATAGATCCGTGCATAGTTGATGACTTTAGCATGATCTCTTGAGACGGCGGCCGCAGTAGCAGTCAGAGAATGAAGGTCAGTCTTTCTGCTTTTGTCCCCAGCCAGCACTGCCCAGCCAAAGGCACTGCCTCCACATAAACCCAGGGTACTGTCGCCTAGTAACGCTGCTATCCACAGCTCCTACCAGGACAAGGTAAGGTTTTAATCTTATACTACTATCTATACTATCAAGCTTCCTTGTGCGTACTGCTAAAGAGTGGAATTCTTTGCCAGAGTCTGTATTTCCTGAAGGGTATATATAACCTGAGAGTCTTCAAGGCCCGAGTGAATAGGTTGCTTATGGGACGACGTGCTCCATCGTAGACCACATCATCGCTTACCATCAGACGAGATAGTGGTCAAACGTCGCCCCATCTAATATAAAAAAAACTATATAAAACTGAAGAGTTTGTTTGTTTGAACGCGCTAATCTCAGGAACTACTGGACTAATTTGCAAAATTATTTTTGTGTTGCACAGTCCATTTATCGAGGAAGGCTATAGGCTATAAAACATCGCGCTACAATCAATAGTAGCCGAGCAGAGCGGGTAAAACCGCGCGGAAGTAGCTAGTGTCATAATATATACAAAATGCTCCCGATGACTGCCTCGTTGACCGAGTGGTCGCAAGTGCAACTGCTGGGCAAGGGATCTCGGGTTCGATTCCCGGGTCGGAAAAACTATTACTGGGTTTTTAGAAATTCTCAGTAGTAGCAAGGAGTCTGGAATTGTGCCCGGTATATGGCAATAGGGTCACCCCCTATTACATGGGACTTGTAATAACATAAATAGTGAAGTGGGTGTTATATTTTGGATTTTGGATAGTAAAATAATGATTTTCGCGCCTGGGTGAGGCGGGAGGGAGTGTCGGATCCTTACTGACTAAAAACCACCCCGTTCCTTCTCCTGCACTTCCGAACTGGAGCCCCGGTAACCCGTTAGGTTCTCCGCGGCTCCGAATCGGCATCAGCCCTATGTGCCCCATCCGTGGTGGCCTGATGGCTCTTTAAGGCGCGCGCGTAACGTACGCACGGGAAAATAAGTTGGCTTAGAATTAATACATATTTGTATAAAATACCTGTGAATCAACGTCAGCGCCGACGAACTTATGGCCGGGCGGTGCTTGAACCATGGCTCGTAACTCAGAACCGACGCGTTCTTTGTGAGCATTACTCGCCGTCATCCAAGTCGGTTCGCTAGCACTGACAAACGAAATAAAACTCGTAAGACATACTGTTATGTATGTATGTATAGATGCAAAGGTAGAATGCGGGCTGCGCCCCGCTTCCCCGGAGTTACTTAACACATACTAAATAAGATATTTTATATTTCCGACTTATTCCCGCGACACACGAATATGAATGCCCTTACGTAGCTTGAAACTAGTCAAGTCCCTCGTCAAACAGTTACGTGAGTAAGCCAGGACATAAATTATGCGTATTTAATGAAATAAAACTCTTTTATCAATAAGCCAAGATCGATTTGAAATGTTTGCAAAACCAACCATAACTCTAAAATGGTAGATTATCACCTAATTACTCTTTCTCACTCTAGTTACTGAAAGTATAGAGATAGATGCGTTGAAAATGTGTAGTTTGGTTATAAACATCACATCCATTTTTGATAGTGTTGAATAGGGGTAAATGATTAATTTTTATTTTAATGTCCGTCTGGTAGATTATTTTAAAATTTTACACACGTTTTTTTTTTTTTTTACAGAAACTAATACTTTCGACGATATATTTATTTGAAATGTCGCGTGACGTCACTTCTATGTACATTTTATACGTAGAAATTACGTTTTAGCCCCCACTTCTAAACTTTGATTCGCTATATCTAAGTACCATTTTATTATACAACAAAATAAAAAATACGCGTCTAATATTTTTTCACTACGTAACTGACGGACTAATTAGATTTTTAATTTTCATACCCTGTCATCATCCCTGTTGTGCACTCAAGCTGTACTTACTATTTGGTAACAAAGAACTTCAACTTCGCTACTATTATTATCGGCAACTTAAAAAAAAGGCGGACACAGTCTCTTAAAACAACGACTGTGGCACCTGGCTACTATAGACTTACACGCAGAATACACACACATTGACACGAAGGACATCTGCCGCGTGACATGGCCCGTCATTACACTTGATACATTACGGAGTTGGAAGTACACGCTCACATATATACCACCACTGACATTTTAGTGCTTAAATTAGTTCTAAGTGTCATTCCGTCCTAGTAGTACTAGGAATTTTCATCATCATCATCTTTAACAGCCTATAAATGCCCACTGCTGAGCAAAGCCTCTTCTTACACGGAGAAGGTTTGAACACTAATCACCACGCTTGCTCAATGCGGGTTGGTGATTACAAACTTATAATCAGAAATTATAAGCCTCGGTTTCCTCAAGATGTTTTCCTTCACCGTTTGTCAGTGGTGTCTAAATAATGTTAGAAAATACATATAACTTGGAAAAACGTCACATTGGTACTTGCCGTTGGTAGGTTTCGAACCCACACCCTCATGCATGAGAAGCGGGCGTCTTAAACCTCCGGGCCACCACGACTAGGAATTTTAGTTTTTTCTAATTAAAAAAAAACTAGGTTCACAACTCACCGTCTCGTCAAGGTCCCACAGACCACAACTTGTGGTATTATAGCCCCATACTTCTTCCAAGCACCGCGCAAACCCAGGGGAAGAAACTCGTCAGGCAACCACACTACTTGCTGACTCAGTATACGCTCTCTATTATTTCGCCAGTACGACATCATACGGCCAAACGTTAAAACCTATCAGTAAGAAAAGTTATTAAAAAATATACTTTAATTTCTGGATGTAAAGGTTGATTTTCGTTATAATGTATTTCAAGTTTATTTAATAAAATATTCTATTTTAATGATAGCAAGGATGATTTTCGTTACTTAGTTGTATACTTTTAAAGATTGTTGAATTATAAGTTTTATTTTGGAAGACATAAAGTTGATTTTCGTATTCAATAAGTGGAATTTAAAACATGACTTACGAAAGTAAATGAAAAAGGTTTGTCTTACCTTCTCGGCTTCATTCCCTTGAGCAGATAGAACGTTTTGACTGAACATCTCCAGAAAATCCTTAGCCAATGGATTACCAACTTTATACTTTGGTCCATCTTTGTGAGGCAGTCTTAGGAAATGGCAACAGCCTACGATAAAAAAAAAAACAAAATTATTAGATAATTTGATAAAAATGACGCTTTTTAAACCGGAGGGGTGCAAATCGTGGCACTTAATGCCACTGTACAATGTAACACCCACTTTTCCTATGTATGTTGTGAACAGTGAAACCCTTGTAATAAGGGGTGAGCCTATTACCATATACCGAGCACGATTCCAGACTCCGTGCTACTACTGAGAATTTAAATAAAACCCAGTAATACTTTGCCCGACCCGGGAATCGAACCCGAGACTCCATGCCCGGCAGTCGCGCTTGCGACCACTCAGCCAACGAGGCAGTTAACATTTTAGATTAATTTAGAAATTTTTATAAATCTATATACATGATATATAAAAATGAATAATTTTTCCCTTGGTCACGGCATCACGGGTGACGGCTTAACGGCAACTTGGTCACGGCTGGACCGATTTGACTAATTCTTTTTTTGTTGTATTTGTTATTATTAGGAGAAGGTTTTTAAGACAGAAAAAATCCTGAAAATCCTACGGGAACTGGAGAAAACGGGATTGCGCGTACGAAGTCGCGGGCAGAAGCTAGTATTATACAAAGCTGATACTGGTTTGAATTGAATAGGTATTTCTTTTTGTGTTGGACAGTTCATTTATCGAGGAAGGCTATATAAGGGTAAGGCTATATAAATAAGGCTTCAGTGGTCTATCATGAGCTACATATTGACGTTGAGAAAAGAAGTAATATCTTCAATACATTAATTTTTTCCAATATTGTGTCCTATTGAGTACGGAATAGAGTTGAAAATGAATAATTACCTTGAACATCTATTCCGGACCACACACCGAGTCCATGGTACTCATTGGCAGCTGCTTGCTCGTCTTTCTTCTTTCTAGCGTAGTAAGCACGTCTGCCTAGATCCTCCTATCAAATTGTGCTAAATGTAACATTGAGTAGTGAAAAGTGGGTGTTACATTGTACAATGGCATTAAGTGCCGTAATTTACACCTCTGCCTACCCCTTCGGGGATAAAAGGCGTGTTGTCATGCTATGTTATGTAACACTGACTTTTCACTTTGTTCAAAATAACATGAGAAAGGACAATGCCAGGCGCTCAGTACATCTTTGACCCAGTATATTAGAAGTCATGTACAAGTATGCAGTATTCAGCATCGTGTAGTGTATTAATTACCTACTTTTTATTTTCATAGTTTCGTACAAGCGATGCGTATGATGTAACGCAAATAGTCATTAGACAATATGGAATACGCATTGCAAAAAACTATTTCCGGGATTGAACTTCTTTTTTATTAAATTGTAAACCGCAAGTTTATAAATAAAAAGATTTATTGTGAAAAGTTTCCTTATTCGTCAAAATTATTTTCATCAATTTACTTTTTTTGTAAATGATAGTATGACTGGATCAGGATCTGGCATTGTCATTTATTTATTTACTTAGTCTTAGTACAAAAACATATGTACAGGTGGACTTAATGCCTTGGGTATTGTTTTACAGTCAACCTTAAGGTTTTAAGTATTGTCTACACAAATAATAGGCGGCTTAATATTTACAAAGGCTTGCATCTTGCTTTAAAACAATGCAAACTTTCCACGAAGTGGCAATGTTAAACCGCTTATTGTTCATGAAGGATGTATGCATTCGTCAAATGCTGGACCCTAAAAAAACTTTTTTGCAGTCCGTTCAAGCAATTGTGCTTTTTATTACGATGGCCGAATGACAAATGGTGGCTGCAGTAAATAGTTGGTTTTGTAACGACTTTTTTTTTGCTTTTAATGCCAAATGCCAGCCTTATGTCTACAGAATGAAGTAAGCATCAGTTGAATAGACAGTAAAAGCTGTTTTTTTTTTCTTCGAATCGGCTGAACGGATCCGAATGTTTGGTACAGGTAAATTATTGTCAAAACACTTATCTCAGAGGAACGCTGCCGAAGCGGCGGGCTACTGAAGTAGGTATACTTAAAAATCTTACCTCAACATCTTTCGGTAGCGAATACATATCAGGTTTGAATTCGGAGTCCTTGCAGAATGTTAGAGGGCAGGCCTGGATGAGTTCATCAATTGGGACCAGGGGTTCCTCTGCATCATCACTACGCCGCCGGCTGTAAGGCACTAGGAAACCCCACCCTTCCTCCTTGATGTAGTGGAGTGGATACCCTTCCCATGACAGGCGAAGCAGCTTTGGTGTTATCTAAAATGGTAGATTAAATCCCTTGCCCTTTACGTTACATAAGATTATGAAGAGAAAAGGTTTGATTGTTATTTTGTATAGTTAGCCAGCAGATAAACCTATTCTGTCAAATTGATTTATTGGATTTTAGACTTTAAGTCAATATAATAAAGTTCAATGTATATAATAGAGACATTGGACATAAAATGATACTGCTGGCCACCGTACCTACGAGGCAGCAGATTCTACGACAACATAAGATGTTACTCACGTGAATATACTGAGAAAAGCTCTACTAGTTTTGAACCACAGAGAAACACAATGTAACAACCATTTTTCACTATTTATGTTATGAGTCCCATGTGATAGGGGGTGAACCTATTGCCATATACCGGGCACAATTCCAGACTTCGTGCTACTACTGACATTTAAAAAAAAACCCAGTAATACTTTGCCCGACCCGGGAATCGAACCCGAGACCCCTTGCCCGGCAGTCGCACTTGCAACCACTCGGCCAATGAGACAGTTTACTAAGTAATAGGGAAAAAAGGGAGATTTTACTTGGTAATAGGGGATTCAATTACACTTACTTGCATGCTAGTTGTGATATTATTAGCCCCAGGTGACCAGTCAGGATCTTTACCTGGTTTAGTACATAATTTTCTGTACCACGCCGGATAACCGGGCAAATACGGCCTCTTTACAGGTAAATGTTCACCGAATTCAAATAGATACTCAAACTCCTTGCTAAGTTCTTTAATTTTTTCCTCATTCTGTTCCGTGGAACAATTTTGAATATCTTCTAAACACCGAATGTATTCTTCATTTAAAACTTCAAATTTTGATAGGTCTGGTTTTGGCATATTTTCATTAGACGATTTTTGTACATCGGATATTTTCTCTTCTAATTTATTAGTTTGATATTCCTCAACTATTTTTCCTTTTGTAACCTTTTTCTTTTTTGTATTTATCTTTTTTAGCTTTAGATTCTGTACTGACCAGTCTTGGTCCCACATCCACAAATCTTTTTTGTAAGAATTGTCGTTGAGCATACTGCAAGCTTCGTCGGCTTTCATAGACAATACTTGTCTAGATTCCAATTTCAAATCTTCGAAAACTGTTTCTGCTGAGTCAATGTATTGGAGCCAGTTTGAGTTGACTGGCAGGTAGGCTGATCCTGTTGAACGAATATGAGCTTTATGTCATTAAAAATAGAGCTGTATACTTATTAGGCTTCGTAAAATACTATTATCAAGAGTATCGTTACTCTCTTGTAGCTCAAACACCTAGAAGTTCAATTCCTGGGCCAAGGAAAGTTGCACAACTTCCAGAATTAATATTTAAAGACTGCTTCGTCGGTCGAGTGGTCAAAAATTCAATCACTGAGAACTGCATCTCAGGTTCGACTCCCGGGTCGGGCAAAGGACTATTGAGATCCTTGGTTTTCGAAAATTCTTAACAAGAAACTGAAGCAATTTTTGTGACTAAAATGACAAGTCAGTTAACGATTAGACGGATCACCTGATGGTAAGCAATCAGCACCGACCATGGAAAAAACAACAAGAAAAGAGCCCCAAGTGCTTTGCCAGCATTTTGAGAAGCTTTTACTCATTACTATAATAGGGCCAGTAGAATACCAGCGCGAGGCCCTGTCTTGTACATGCTGAACTGGTCCCATTTCACCGCAGACTTGGGACATTAGTAGATATTAGTAAACTTATGTGTAAAATATGTATGTGTCACCTGTTTTACACTGCCTCGTTGGCAGAGTGGTCGTAAGTGCGACTGCCGGGCAAGGGGTCTCGGATTCGATTCCCGGGTCGGGCAAAGTATTATTGGGTTTTTACATATTCTCAGTATTAGCACGGAGGCTGGAATTGTGCCCATTGGCAATAGGCTCACCCCCTATTACATGGGACTCATAACATAAATAGTGAAAAGTGGGTGTTACATTGTACATACAGTGGTATAATGTGCACCTCTGCCTACCCCTTCGGGGATAAAAGGCGTGATGTTATGTTGTGTCACCTGTTTTAGCGTGTGAAATAAAGTTTTTCTTTCTTTCTTTCTAATAATAAGAGCTTACCTAATTCCAGCATACCAGCTAAAGTGACGGGATGAGGGAACCGGTGTAAGAATAAAGGCAGGAGTTCCTTCAACACTTCATGGGTAGCCACTACATCATTGGCGCAATAGTGCATCAGCTCTTGAAAGTGCTCGTGCACGTCTTCCATAGTCCCGTCCACGAATATGTCTCGAGTTTGTTTGTCCACCGGAGTACCGCAGTAGAGTTTGTGGACCTATGAATACAAATCATTTTACTTTACCTTACAACTTTACCTTTACCTAAATTCATTTTTTTTTAACTTTGCTCCACACTAGGATTTTCTCCTGTGTCGTGGGTGCGTTGACAATTGTAACTAATCTTATACCGGAATACTGAAACGTTACTCAATTTTAAGTCGTGCTCAAATATCGTGCCATCTCTGTCATTTTACAAAGAATTTGTAGAGATAGAACTATACTTAAGCACGACTTAAAATTGAGTAGCGTTTCAGTATTCCGACAATAGACTACTTTTATTTTGGAAAATTGAATCATATAGAAAGTTATGTCATAAAATTCATATTCTACGTGGACAAAGTTGCGGGCACAGCTAGTTTCTAAATAAAGATTCTTACCTCACTTAAATTGTTGAGTGAGCTGATCTCGATCCAGTCATCATCAGAAGGGTGGGGCTCCTTGTTCTTGGCTTTCAGTACTGTTCGTTGGTAGCTGGTGACTCCACTGACGCATGTATGCATTGACATTGTGTCCATGAATCGCACACCTGATCGCATAGGAAATACACCAAAGAATATAACATAAGTTATTATAATGTAAGCATATAATTATAATGTAAACATATTATAATATAAGTTTTTGTAAACTTTCGTAAGATATATTTATGTTATACGGCTTACTAACGTTACCATTAGCGAGGTAACTCGACTAGTTTCAAGTGACTCTAGGGGCTCATATTCATGGTCGTATAAAATAATCTGTGCTTATGTATTTTGTAGCGCAATGCTGTCCATGACTATAAGTCCATAGCGTGGCTTGAAACCAGTCATATCCTAATATGAAAGTTATTTGTACGGAGGTACTAATTACCGTAATTTCATAACTGAAGGCAATTAAAGGGATGGATAGTCAAAGAGGCTACTTTTTATCCTTTTGTGACGCGAGCGAGGTCGCGGGTAAAAGGTAGTATATTATAAATCCGATAATTTGCATGATTGTGTATTACTACACTCACCATCTACATTGTGGATAGATTATAGTGTGGAATGACACAGGTTACTTTTTATGCCTCGGGACGCGGGCGAAGCCGCTGGCAGAAGATAGTGCAAAGGTAGTTTCTTAAATTTTATTTTATTGTCCATCTTGTACATTAATTTAAAATATTAGACACGTATTTGTTATTTTCTCACAAAATTAAATGCTTTCGACGATATATTAATTTGAAATATCGTGTGACGTCACAGCGTGCCTCATTTTGTAGCACGTTATGACGTAACGACCTCCCACACAATGGCGCTAAGTTTAGGAAAACTTAGCGCCATTTTATCTAAGTTTGCAACTTAATACGAGAAAATAAAAACTACGTGTCTAATGTTTTTTTATTATCTAACTGACGGACTAATTAGATTTTTAATTTTGATACCCTGGAAACTACCCAATTATACAGGAGGTTGAATATTACCTGTCCTTTCCAACCAGTATTGTTCCTTAATCTTCGCTCTGTCAAAAGACACATTATGGCCGACCACAATTCTATGCCGGGTTAGATCACCAACAGGCTTCCGACCATCTGTCTCCAATGGTATCAAATCATCGTAGTTTATGTTGTCAAATACTTTATGTGGGTCATCATTAGCTAGTGGTTCACTTATCCAGCCATACCTGTAAGAATGGAAAAAAAGGTCGATACAAACTATGCGAGTATAACTAACGCTATATAAGAAATAGTACGAGAGCCCACGACCAAAACCATGTCTCACAGCAATACGGCAAAAACCCTATACAATCATTAGATTGTATGATTCTGAACCCGAATAGGTGTGTAGTAACAGTCGAAAGTGTAGCAACTGCGTGGGAGGCCATTTCTGCTGTGTCAAAAAAAAGACAGTCGGTATTATAGCAATACGTCTGATAGTGAAAATGTACATACATTTTATAATTGTATTACGAAAAAGTTTGTTTTCAAACATTTTGCGCGTAGCATATAGCCTGAGCCCATTTTTGAAAATGTCAACAAATTTAGCCGACTTGTATCATAGCAATACGGATAATTTTTTTTTCAACTTTTCGTATTGTGATTACAATATATTGTGATAATACATTTTACATTCACTCCACATCCAGACCAACAACAACATATTTATGTATTACATGCAGGAATCGAACATGTGATATGTTGCATATCAGTCAGTTGCCCAGTCATTGCCAAGTTTATATGAGTTAAGCCATCTAGAATTTTATGTATTATACTTTGCTTTCAAAGCATTGAACTTATTTATTAAATTAAAGAGAACTTATAAAAATTTAATTAATACTCACCATGCATCTGTGGATACTGCGCAAGCCAAAGTGGGTCTTTTGCCAGCAGACATAAGACTTCCACATCAAAGATCAATGCATCATCAGGTGGGCATGGTACTGACTCTTGAGAATCACCAGAATATTTTGTCCAACCAGAAGCTTTAGACCATTTCTATAAAAATTAAGCAATATATGTATGTATTTATTCTAGTGATGTGAAGTATTATTTCTATTTTACTACGTAACAAATGGCAATAGGTTCTCGCCCATGATATGATGAGATATCCAACTATAACTGATGAAAATTGACCACCTATCAGGAATCTAAGGTCTCATACATATAAGTATTAAACTATCAAACACCGCGAGGACACCGGTGACCGCAACCTATTGTTCTCTATAATGACGGTACTCAAAGGGTTAAACCAATTTTGTTTTTTTATGGGATGATGTGCAGGCAGGTTAGCGGATGGTGACAAGCAATCAGCGCTACCCATGAGCAATGGAGCCCAACATATATTTACTCACCAGATGGCGCTGTGTAAACCTCTTGTTCTTCGTCTAATAGGAAATTAGCTAGTGTCACCTAACCTAATTGAACGTTCAATATTTGATAGCTGCTGTGATTGGACTCAAAATGTCGAAAGCCATTTGTGCCGTGTGGTGAGCAAAACAATGATAGCCCACATTTTTTTAGGGAATAGGAGGCGAACGAGCAGGCGGATCCCCTGATGGTGAGCGATTAGTGGATACCAGAGAAGTCACAGGTGCGTTGCCCGCCTTGTAAAAAGGAATATACTCTTTTCTTAAAGGTTGTATGGGTTCGGAAATACCGCAGATGACAGATAATTTCATAGTTTCCTCGTTGAGCATATTCAACACCAGGGTGGCTACAAGCTACAAGACTTAAGCCTGCCTGCCTTTTAGGGGAGGATGGTAATTCAACTAATATAGGTACTAGAAATAAAAGTACTCACCTTTGGTATTTGAGGTAACTCACAGGTAGACAACCTCTTTAGTAATTCTCTGTATGGAGCACTCTGCTGTTCTCCGATATTGTAAAAATGTTCCACAACATCATTTCCTTCTAGTTTAGGCAGTTTTAACTGCACATCTGGTAGATGGCTGCATTTTTTATAGTCTATGCCATGCCTTAGAAGACTGTCTTGACAACTGGAGAGTTAAAATAGAAACTTGTTCAATGAAAACTTTTTTATTGAATTTTTATTTTTGTGAAAAATTTTAGATATAAGTATTGACCGTATATATGAACAGTATATATGAACATATCTTAGGTAGATACCTACCCCGTGAATATTTTTCAACAAAAAAAATTAAGTACATTAATGTGAATTGTTATCTACTGTATTATTTCAAAATGAAAAAAGAAAACAATTGATCTATTGTTCACTATTATTATTTCAAAGTACTTTAGTATTGTATATCAACAAAGCATTCGGTTTATTTACTTATTTTAAATTAAATAACTTCAACGTCCATTGCTTTATGTACCTACTGATTTTTATTCAAAATTAAACTTTAATTAATTAGCATTCAAATAAAGTTATTGCATACTGAACATCTGTGAAATATAATGTATACAAACAGAATAGCTGACAATATTAACATTAATGTTTTGTTTACCTTTTTATTACTAGTGGATCCACTCTCTGACTAGGTTTTTTAAACAGTTGCTCATAGATATTTCTAGATATCATTTGTATATTGACTTCATTGACTCTAAATTCTTCTGAATTATTTGGACTAATATTGTCTTCATTTTGAACATTTTCCTTTTTGTTTTTCGTAATTTTCTCCTTTTTGAGGTTAACGTTTTCATTTTTATCGCGTTTCTTTTTTATTATAACTACTTCACTGGAAGGTAATATATCACCATAGAGTCTGTGAATAGAAATTCGTAATTTATTAGTATTTTCACGGAATAATCTAGCAGTTCTCATTCTAATTGATGTTCTATTCCAAAACAAACATTCGCGCGCTTCGAAACTTTCTTTGACAGTTGACATTGACAATTATATGAGATTGTGAGATTGACACTAATGGTCGTGTTCAGAAACGATAAAATTGGTTTTTTTAACGCAGGTACTTCGTTTTGAAATAAGACTAAAATATTTTATCAAATAAGATTCTGATAGTACATCGGATGAATCATCTTCTTGAAAACTCAGATAAGATCACATTTCTTCGTCATCACAATACTATGAGCTAATTTTTATACTAGACAGGAAATCCATTGGCGCTAAATCTATATAGAAAAGCTGTCTAATATTGATCCATTTGTATTATAGAATTATAATATGAAATGTGCGCTCTATATACCTCTCCTCTATGTACCTAGAATACAGCATTCCAGATTCTATAAGAAAGCAAAAAGAAAAGTTCTCTTTAGTAGTAGATCACTCTCAACTACTCTTAAGACAACACGGTTAGTGCGGAGGCTGCCACGCAACGTGTCGCCGGTTCGATTCCCGCACGGAGCAACTCTGTGTAATCCACAAATTGTTATTCCGGGTCCAGAGCCAGACCCGGAATAACCACCATAATGACACCCAGGTGTCATGTGTATGTGAACTTGTTTGTTTGTAAAATGTACCCACGACACAGAAGATCCTAGGGAGGCGCAACGTTTTTTTTAAAATAATAATTCTCCGCGATTCAATAACATTAGGATATTAGAAATCAATAACTAACTATATCACATAAATAAATAAATTACGTAGATATCCGTATTTAAAATTAGTCTGATCCACATCAGAATGTGGTTTAGATTCATTTTCTACTTGGCGTTTCAACTCATCATTTAGTGAAAGTAACTTTTATCGAACTAGTCAGGTAGGTAAAGCACAATATTAAACGTTTTCCTATAAAATTAATATTACAATCGAATTTATATATCAAAAATCACAAAAGCATCACTCTCAAATCACTTGTGTATAGGTATTTTATGTTTCAAAGAGTTAGTAGTAAAAGAATTAGTAGTAATATTGACTCTAGAAATAAAAATAAATCCTTTGATTCTGAAGAATATTAATTTATTTTAGTCAAAACAAATACATAATAATACTACATAATTTTTTAAAACCTATAATTATTAATAATGCAAAATAGACAACTTGTATATAACATAATATGGTGCTTCTTATATCTATGGAATGTAATAAAAATGATTAGTTAGTTCTTAGTTGATAGTCTCCATTCTGTGTGATATACCGCACCCAAGGCAAAGCCTGATACCCACTCTTCTCAATAATCTTCAAGTACCTTACTTGGATACCAGAAGTAGTAAAGTATGGGATTTCAAACTTGACTTGGATTGGAGGTTTCCCATCAACTTCTTCACACTCGACAGATGGTAATCCAAAGTGAGCTCTCATTAAGTACTCTTTGCCTCCAGGGAAGGATTTAATAGACCAGGTGATAGCATTCTGTTCAGGAGTGTATTTGACACTGCCAATTGTAGTCTTGAATTTTGGAGAGTCAGCATCAGCTGGGACGGGAATTATAATCTCAACATTGTTAGCAGTTGAACGCCTCTTGAACTGAGACTTTGCCTTGATCATATACTCTACCCTAGAGTGGGCATGGCGTTCAATGACAGATTCAATCCAAATCAAAGGCTTGACATGAGTATTCAATCTGTATGACATCAACTCAAACTCTCCATCAGGTGGGATGAAAGAAATTGTCCTGTCATTTTCAAACCGAGACAGTCTGACGCACTGATGGAATTTTACATCTTCAAGCTCTACAGACTTTGATTTGCCTCGCCCTGTACTCTCAAACAAGACTTTATCATTTAGACCAAGACGCAATTCAGGCATACCTGATAAGTATACTCTCATTTTAATGGCACCTACAATCTCACTTCGTAGAACATTGCCATTGCAATTAGCCAACAGGTTAACAGATTCTATGACATCTAAGAACACTTCATTCTTCCTGTACTTAATACCCTCAGACCTCCAAGATACTGCATTTGTGACTGCCATGGGAATACGGGGTTGCATTTCCAATTTGTGGCCTTCCTGGGTTATGTACTCTTGTAGTATCTTGCTGTCAGTTGTTTGTGGGTATCCAAAGTCAATTAGTTCATCGAGCAGCTCATAAATGACCACAAAATTGTCCCGGATACTCTCTTCTTCCAACTCTTTGAAGTATTCAGTCATGACCTCCACAATTTTGTACAAGAATACAAACACAAGTGCTATGTTAGCGTTTTTCTTTGTTGTTGATACAATGTACAAGTTGTTTGTTTTGATATAAGCGAAGGTGCATTCACTGGTCTGCAATAGAGGAGTCAACATTCCTTCTTCCTCTTTCTCCATAAGTAGTGGCATGAACTTGTCTATGATGCCCAAATCCACGTCGCCGCGATAATTCCTCGATATGAGGACTTTACCTTTCACATCTAAGATGTATATTGCGGATGAAGACATCTTGTTGCTGAAAAAGAAAAACCATATAGTAGTTTGAAGCCAAATAAGAGTTACAATGAACCAAATTTAGTTATCACTTCATACAATCAATAAAAGTTTTCTTTGTTGAAATTAACAAGTGACATAAAGAAACAGATAGAATCAAACTAATTAACACTTATACTTACGTCTAATTTCACAATTTTACGAATAAAATATCTACATTATCTTCGGCAAACATACGTGTGAAATAATCTTTTTTTATTAAGTTCAGATTTTTAGACATTAATAGCATTCCATTGACAACAGAATAGATGCATGTAAAAAACGAGAAAGTGATATTTAATTTATGCTATAGATGTAGAAAACATCAAATGTTATCTGGAATGCATGATACAGCACGACATTGAAACGAGTGTTACAAATTAATAAAATTAAACAGATAAATTAAGCTCAAGGAAAATGAATACCGTACCTAAGTATTAACTTTACAAATCCAACTTTACATACATAATATTATGAAACTTTTTCCGGTATCATATTTTAATTTTTCATAATCCGCATAATTTTTTTATGGCTCCGACAAAGTCCTATATGATTAAAGTTGAGGTATTAAAGTGGATTATTTTTACCACATACGGTTTTGGAAAGATACTCAAATTAATCGACGTCTACAACAATGATAACGACCAATTTATTTTTAACTTTTAATAGCTTAATTTTTTAGGATTAAAAATTGATTACAAAAATTCACTACTTATCGACCGAATATTGTCGTTATCAGTGTCGGGGCTTTCTATGCTCCATAGACTATAGAAATAAACGGGCCCTATTCTATTAGCCAATGGCTAATAAGACAACAACCCAAAGTCAATGGGAAGTCATAATCGCAAACTCCATTCTCGTTTGTTTGACTGACTGACAGATGGCTGACTGACGCTTCTATATTAATTTTCTGTTTGTGTTGTCTGGCTGTTGAGCACGGCTACGGACATTAATTTTATTTAAAGTACCTCAGTTTTATTGTAAATGTTGTTCGATTCCATATAATATGATTGTGTTGCTATTCCATAAATTCCTTTAGAGGCTTTAATTTTAAATAACACCTATGTGTGTTTAGAGTTTTTTATGACGAGTGATTATTCTATTCATTCCTTTGCTTTGCCTTTTGACGGTGGGGATAATTTTTCATTTTCGTAAAAGAGATTAAGTATAGAATGTTTTTATAGTGTTATTGGCTAAATAAATTTGTGCTCGATGTTGATCAATAATATGAATCCTGTTTCCCTGACACAAAGGAATACGCTGGTTTTCTTGGACATTTCTATCGATGGCGAACAAGGTAAGTACCTACTTACGGTATTATCGTAGAAATATTTCATAATTATCTATGTACCTACTTCTTTGTTATGACACGATATCCTGTGATGTAGGTAGAAAACTTGGCATGCGATGCACTATAGACTTGGACTACCTCAACATAAATGATAGTCGGGTCTATTTTTACGACGTGTAAATATCAACTGATAGTGTTTGTACACAAAATGTTCAGCATTCTGTTCAAACGGAATTGCTTTTTTTCTAATAAGATGTAGTGGAAAATTTCTTGCAGTAACAATATAAGTATAGGTAAGAATTTTATTATATATAGTAAGTGCTTACATAATTTAAATTGTATGTAAATAATTGCATAGATAAATACAACAACCTTGTGAATGCAGATTATCTGTTAGTCAGTATCAGTGTGATAAATGTTTAAAGTGGATTGTAACATTAAAATTTAATGTAAGAAATAAATGTTCAATGATCAATAATAATACTAAAGCCCAACAATAAAGACATCTTCAATCTTAAATATATTAGTCATGTGGGGTCACAATTCAAGCACCTTACAAGAAGAAGGAAGTAATACGATGTAAGAAATGCCAGAGATTTGGGGACTCAAAAAAACAATGTTTTCGACCGTTTGGATGTGTAAATTGTGGGAATGATCATCCAACTACTACATGTACTAAAACTCCAGAGACACAACCTACGTGTGTGCATGCCATGGCAAACATCCGGTAAGCTATAAGGGATGTTCAAAATACAGAGAATACAAAGAAAAAACACTTAAATCAAACCTAAATAAAACAACCTACAGGTCAAGAATACAAAAGAACCAGATTAAAAAACCATACACAACATGAATGAAACCTTCAAATCAACCTTACCCAAGAGAAGTTTTTCAGATAATTTCAAGAAATGGTCAGTGAAAACATAGATTTAAAAATTAAACTAAAATCACCCGAGGACCTAGAAATAAGCATTCAAAAATTCAATACGGCCATTCTTACTGCCGCCTGTCTAACTACACCTACACAAAAAACTGAAAAACTACCCCAAGCTAATAAGAGACAAATTCCAAGAACGGTGAAAATTGAGGAAAGAATGTCAACAAACAAGGTATCCTTCAGATAAAACCAAGTTCAATAAAATTGCAGAAGAATTAAAGTTATTTATCAAAGATCTGGAGAATCACACAGTGCAGAGTAAATTGGCCCATTTAACTCCCCATAAAGACACAAAGTAATCACATTGGTGCGCACCAATGTGATTACTTTCGTAACAAAGAAATTGAAGCGCCAGATATCCATGTTCCACCATTAAGGAAACAGGACAGGGACTAGGCTAGATCTGATCTATCTGTATTTGCTGAATATCTTCAGCGTTACTTGAAACCTTTCCCCAGTAATAACCCAGAAAATGATAAAGAAATTACAACCTATTTAAAATGTCCTTACCAGTTTTGGGCACCTATTAAACCAGTAAGTCCTAAAGAGATAGATAAGATGATTATGGCTCTGCAATCTAGAAAAGCCCCTGAATATGACCTTATAGACTCTACGCTGATGAAAACCTGCCGAGAAAAGGAATAATCTACTTAGTTAAACATTTTTAATGCCTGCCTGAAACTCACATTATCCAAGCCAGTGGAAAATTGCTCAAGTTGTTATGATACTTAAACCTGGCAAACCAGTAGAGGAAGTGACGTCATACTGACCAATTAGTCTACTCCCCCTTCTCAGTAAGATCTTTGAAAGGATTATCATCAATTGTCTCAATCCACTCCTAGATAGAGTACTTCCAGAACATCAATTTGGTTTTCGACATAACCATGGTACCGTCGAGCAAGTACACAGATTGGCAGATACTATCAGTCATACAATTAAAACCAAGCAATATTGCTCGGCTGCATTCCTGGATATTAGTGAGGCCTTTGAAAAGATCTGGCAAGAGGGTCTACTGTTCGAAATCAAGAAGTCTGCCACACTCCTTTTTTGTAATACTTGAGAGTTACCTAAGCAAAAGATGCTATGAAGTCAAATTCAACGGTGACACATCAGAATCGTAAGAAATACAATCAGGAGTTCCACAGGGCAGCATATTGGGGCCTGTTTTGTATCTCCTGTTTACTGCAGATGTACCTACAAACGCACATACCACCATGGCCACCTATGTGGATGACGCTGCAATTCTGGCAGTGGATAAGAATCCAGATATCACTTCGGAAACCCTGCAAAATCACCTTAATGAAGTCGAAATATGGCTGAAACAATGGAGAATAAATGCTAATCAAACCAAGTCAGTCCATGTCACTTTTACCTTAAGAAAAGGAAACTGCCCTCGTGTTTAATAATGGCGAAGAAAAACCGCAATATGAAACTGCTAAATATCTTGACTGAAGATTAACTTGGAAGAAACACATCTGGACCAAAAGAAAACAGCTTGACACAACTCTTCGAAATATGTACTGGTTGATCGGTAAAAACTTTAAACTATATTGAAAGCAAAATGGCAGTATACTAGGCTATCCTGAAACCAGTCTGGACATACGGTATTTAGCTCTGGGGAATAGCAAGTACCAGCAATATAGAAATTTTGGATAGGTTTCAAACGAAGGCAATGAGATACATGTACAATATACCCAAAAGCACTAACAACAAATACATTTTACAACACCTAAAGCTAAAAACTGTTAAAGAAGAAATTTCTCAGAGAGGTTCAAACTATCAGAAATAGTTATCTAAGCATGTCAATGCCCTTGCTACTAAGTCATCGGGATCTGGAAGTATCCAATTTGCAAGACTGAAGAGGAGCAGTGTACCTAACCTCATAGACCGATTCAACAGCCAGTAGGAAGAGAAAATTGGATACTTCTCCTCAATACAATATACCACACTCAGACAATGAGTCAGCCAAGAAAGCGGCTAAATGTTTTATAAACAGATTGCTGTGTTTCAGGATAGAAAATAGAGAAAAATAATAATAATAATACTTATTATGCTAACTGGGCATTAAACAAATACTGAGTGACCAACTAATGAGTTTGCGTAACAATTTTAATTATCTCTGGCAGTCATAGTCCACTTGTGTGACCGCACGGTGTTTGACAGTTTAATTAAGAAAATTAACCTCTTGTATGCTGGCATATGAGACATTATAGAAAACATATTGTGTCTCACATGGACCTGCGCTAACATATACCATGGGTTAAGTCTATTTTAACCTTTTGATGTCCTTTTATTTGTCAACTGATATTCTATGTTTTATGGTATTGTGTTGGTATTCACTAGGTTCATCAAATACATTCTCCCTCATAATTAATTAGTTACTTCAATACACGCAGATATAATATAGTGTTTAATAAATCATTGCAGAATTTTTCTATTGTATGCCATTGTTTGAATACTGTAATTAGTTCCTAGTTCTAAGTTAATATTCTCATAGTTTGCCTGAATAATCATGATCATGGGAATCTCTTAAGAACCTAACGAGAAACCGGGGCTCCGGCTCGACGTGCAGGAGTAGGAACGGTGTGGTTTTTAGTCAGTAAGAGTCTGACACTCCCTTCCGTCTCACCCAGGCGGGAGCAGACATTCGATGATTTTCCCCCCTTAAAAAAAAGACATGTCTTTTAGTTACGACTTAACCATCTACCAAGAAGTTCAAGAAAGTAGTTGAACTTTGGAGCTAATAATAAGTTACCGACGCGGTGAAACTTTAACAAATACAAAATGAATAATAGTCTGTCAATCAGTCCGTCAGTGAAGCTAGGTGGTTATTCCAAAATGTAGATTCGAATGGAGAAGAACGAGACAGAAACTCAATTCGTAACTCTTTTTAAAAAAGTATGTTCTGTAATGTCTCTGATACATATTCAAATGTCTCTGATAAATAGTCGAGCAACCTTCTCAAAGCAACTTAAAAATACGCTTAAAAAAAAATGAAATAAATTGTCTAAGTTTGCCGTACTTATGATTTTTTAGGGCAATGATAAAAATATTATCAACTTATTAATGTCAATATCTCAAACTTATCAACAGATACCTAGACTTTTAATTTCAAAATATAAGAAGGTGTGGTTTTTGCTGCAGTTGATTCATGTTGCTTTTATAGAATGGCTGAAAGAACATTCATATTATCAATATCGTAATATGAAAATAATGTTTTTACATCTACAAGACTCAAGGCTAGAAGTTTACAAGGATTTATTGAAGTTGTATGTATAAAAAATAGGTCAAGCGTATGAAATATCGAACCAATACGCAATGACGCATTCTGTGAATGCAGGACATGACATAATTTATGCACCTAGGTGCTATTCAGTTCGCTATTCAGTTAATCTTTTAAGTTCAGTTTCATTTCATATAAATAGAAAGGTGGTACTGTGCGGTGATTTCAATATCGACCTACTAAAAAACACTTACAATTCTACACAATTTAAGTATCTAATTACAGGCTTCAATCTTAAGTTCGATATAAAAATACCAACTAGATTGAGTAGTGGTACATGCATAGACAATATAATCCATAATGTGCGGGGAGCCAGGGGTAAAGTATTAGAACTAGCAATATCTGATCATACAGCTCAAGTTCTACGGTGCCCAGTTAAAAAAACATGCAGTTTAGATCACTGGTTTACCACAAGACGAGACTACTCTATGGAAAACATAGATAAGTTTAAAAACTATCTTAAGAGCATTACTTTTTCCGATGTGTATCAGGAACCGGACTCAAATGAGGCATTCAAGCTGTTCTATGAGTGGTTTGTATTGCTTTATAATTTATGTTTTCCGATTATCAGAATTAAAATGTGTACTAAAATAAAATCAAAATGGATAAGCCGCGGTATTAGGATTTGTAGCAAAAGGAAAAGACAATTATTATGGAAGTACCGTAGATTGCCTAATGAACAAAATAAACTAATTTAAAAAATCACTCGAACCGTTTTAAAAAAGTAATAAATCTTACGCAGAGGGCACACAATAATAAATTTATCAGCACAGCTCAGAATCTAGGGAAAGCCACATGGAAAGTCATCAGTAGGAACAAAACCACTATACCAAATGAATATATCATGAAAATTGACTGTAATCAAAAACTATTAACTAATCCTGACGCAATAGCACAAGCTTTTAATGACTTCTTTGTAGATCAAGTAAAATTAACTGACCATATCAATATTGACACTTATAAAATGACGATTAATAATAATAAAAATACTTCGATGTTCATGTCCCCTACTTCACCAGTTGACATCCATCGTATTGTAATGTCGCTCAAAAACACAGCTAGCACTGGGTACGATGATATATCTACTAAAATTATAAAACACGTATCCATCATTATTGCACCAATATTGAGTTATCTTATTAATTTGAGCATAGAGTGTGGGACTTTTCCCAGTGAATTAAAAATTACTATAATAAAACCGCTTTTTAAGAAAGACAACAGAGAAAATATGTCCTGTTACAGACCTATTGCTCTGGTACCAATATTTTCTAAGATTTACGAAAAAGTAATTAATAATCAAATTACTTCATATTTTGAAAAAAATAATTTACTAGTTGACAATCAAAAAGGCTTCAGGAAGAACAAGTCCATTGATATGGCCATATACGACTTTCTAGATAAAGTTAGCAGTCAAGTAGATAAGAAATTACCAGCTGTAGCACTTTACATGGACATGACAAAGGCTTTCGATCGCGTTGATCATAAAATACTCCTAAGTAAACTAAATGCATATGGAATTAGAGGAAACGTATTGAGTCTAATTGAATCCTACCTACATAACAGACGGCAAATGACAGTTATCAGTAGAATCACTAAAGATAGCGAGGTAACTTATAGGTCTGGTCAGAGAACTGTTACTTACGGCGTACCACAAGGTAGTGTCCTTGGCCCGACTCTGTTTATTATTTACATAAATGACTTTCCAACATCATCAACATATCCAATGACCATGTTTGCAGACGACAGTACCTTACTATTTGATGGTGATGACTTAGAAACATTAGAAGCAGATATAAATGCTAACATTGAATCTGTTGTAAATTGGTTAAAACATAATAATTTGATCATAAACCTAGAAAAGACGGCAATAATGAAATTTGAACAGCGAATGGATCAATACAAAAATTTAATTGTAGAATATCACGGAAAAAGTATTAATGAAACAAATGTAACAAAATTTCTAGGACTAAGTATACAGAAAACATTGAAATGGAATGTTCATATAGATAAGGTGTGTAATAAGTTAAATCAATATTCCTATGCTCTACATATGTTAAATAAAACTGCAAACCGAAAAACAGTGTTGACAGCATACCATGGTCTAGTAGCATCAACATTAAGATATGGAATAATTTTCTGGGGAATGCAACCGGTAAAGAAATGGTCTTCAAGTGTCAAAAAAGATGCATTAGGGCTATTTGTAATCTGCAGTCTACCGACAGCTGCTACACTTTCTTTAAAGACCTCAAAATTTTGACGGTCCCCTCATTATACATCTATGAGACTGGTATGTTCGTTAAAAACAATTTTAATAATTTTGACCGAGTAACCAGTCAACGTCGTTGTGACCAGTTACACTTATTAAAATCTAGAACTGCACTATACAGGAACAGTATCTTTGCAATGGCTCCAAAAATTTATAATAAACTACCTAAATATATAAGAAACGAAAATAATATTAGACTTTTTAAACGAAAACTGACATTATTTTTAATTGACAAGACATATTATTCTATTGACTTATTTCTAAATGATAAATTTTGACATACCATTATGATTCTTTTATACTTGTTTAATTTAAATATATTAATAATGCTTGGTACCTGCCTGACTTCATAACTATTTGTACACCAATTTTATTGGTAGAACATAGAGATTCTATTAATGTATGTTAAACACCTTCTGTATAACCTGTGTCCACAAATAAATTGATTTGATTTGATTTGATTTGATTTGATTTGATTTGATTCAGTGGCACAAGGTCAAATTGCAGGCGACATGACGTAGTAATTGCCATTGTGGAGCATAATCATGAAATCAGATGCATTACACATTTATAAGTAAACATGTCAACCTTGTTATTGTCGGTATTTCATTCATGAAGAAAACCGTTTGACATAAAAAATATTTTATGTATTATTTGTCTTGTTTCAGCCGGGCGTATTGTAATAAAATTGAGAAATGATGTAGTGCCAAAAACTGCAGAGAATTTTCGCGCTCTTTGTACAGGCGAAAAGGGAGCCGGGGTTAATGGCAAACCTCTTCATTTTAAAGGCTCAAAGTTTCATAAAGGTACAAGAGAGATTTTCATTTCTCCATTATATTATCATACAAAAATATTAATTCCTTTATTCTTGTTTTCAGCTGTTACTCAGTTCATGATACAAGGAGGTGACATTACTAACGGAGATGGTACCGGCGGTGAAAGTATATATGGGCCTACATTTGAAGACGAAAATTTCAAATTAAAGGTAAGTACATAATTGATAGAATAAAATATAGAGCACAATTTATGTAGAGGCCTACTTATTTTGATTTGGGTGACAATGGGTTTTATGATAGACAGCTTATTATTAGGCTTTTTAGTTTTCGAATAACTAGTAAATAAGGTTACACCCTTTTTGATTAAGACTAAGAAAAATGTGGTTTTATATTTAAAATGTTCATATATCAAGCAAAAGATGTGGTTTGTGTTATTTATAACTTTATTGAGTACTAAACTATACATACTAAATTAATTATGTTTTTCGGGCTAACTTTTCTCGTCAAATAATTACGTGAGTAAGCCGAAAAACATAATAAAAGAAGTGGGGTTACCTACCTAAATGTAGGTATATAAATCTTGTTTTTAGCATGACACGGGGGTGCTTAGTATGGCAAATAGCGGCCGGCCCAATACCAATGGTTCTCAGTTCTGCATCACAACGGTGCCGTGTGCACATTTGGATGGCACCAACGTCGTATTCGGTGAAGTAATGGCTGGTCTCGGCATTGTGAGAGAGATCCAACGGTACGGTGACGGAGACCTTTGCCGCCCCACGGTGGTATGTTGGTAATCGATGCTTTTTAAAATGTTTCTTTTAGCATTTTTTGAATTAATTTGTAAACCAGTAACGGCTGAAATTAACTCGTTGAGTACCGTCATTATAGACACAATTAAAGAACAATAGGTTGCGGTCACCGGACCGCTCGGTGTTTGACAGTTTAATAACTTAGGGCCTAGTACGAGTTTGTAGTACGCTTTTTTTTAAGAAAAACGTTGCCTCAAACTAGTGTTTTGTCCTGTGTCGTGGGTGCGTTTACAAACATACAAGTTCACATACACATGACACCCAGACCTGGAACAACAATCTATGGATCACACATAGAGTTCTGTGCAGGAATCGAACCCGCGACACCATGCGCGGCAGCCGCGCCAACCGTGCAGTTAAGTTTAACAAGGTCGAAACGTTACCGCGTTTAGTACTATCATTGGTTGGTTCATTAATCGAAATGAGACCGCGTTCGTCGCTCTGATTGGCCGGCTTCAATGAACCAACCAATCAGAGCGCCGAACTCGGTCTTGATGCGAGTCCGAAACGTAATACAACTCCACTAATCGTAATCTAAAATCTTTGGGTTGAGTTACCATTAGTTGTATTTAGGTTGTGTCAAAACCTCACAAGCCCTATTGTTAATTAGTGTTGTCAGTCAAACTTCAATAGATTTTCTACTTTATTGTTTGGTATTAAAGTATCTATTGACATTGAAAACAGTTTTGGCTCGCAATCCGGTTGAATTACGAGTAGACGAATTATTAGTTACTAGCTACTTCTGCGCGGTTTCACTCGCTCTGCTCGGCGCCTATTAATCGTAGCGTGATGTTTTATAGCCTATAGCCTTCCTCGATAAATGAGTTATCCAACAAAGAAAGACCGATTCGGTTCGATTTGAAAAAAAATTTTCAAATCGGACCCGTAGTTTCGGAGATTAGCGCGTTCAAACAAACAAACAAACAAACAAACTCTTCCGCTTTATATAATAGTATAAGATAAGATTTATTTATACAGGATAAAGTGATAGGGACTTATTTTCTTTGTTTGCTTATATAAATTTTGTCGTTTATTTTTTTACTGTTTAACTTTGTTCGAGATATTGTTTAGTAAGAAAACAATATGTTCAATTTGTTAATTTCAGGACTGTGTGATTGAAGATTGTGGCGAGATTATAACTAATGAGTGGGATGTAAGCTGTTGCGATGGTACCGGGGACAAGTTGCCCGAGTACCCCGAAGATTACAGGGATGAAAACGTTACTGTAAGTACTTATAAAATTTTCACCGGTAATTATAACATAACATAACAATATGCCCTTTATCCCCAAAGGCCCAAAGGGTTGGCAGAGGTGTATATTACGGAATACTGAAAGGCTACTCAATTTTAAGTCGTGCTTAAATATCGTGCCATCTCTGTCATTTAACAAAGAATTTGTAGAGACAGAACTATACTTAAAATTAATTAATTGAAATAATATTTGTAATTACAGGTAGAGCAATTAATGGTGTCTATAAGAGATGTGAAGAGTGCCGGTAACAGTTATTTCGGCGAAGCACGTTATAAGGCAGCTGTTAGGAAATACCGCAAGTGCCTAAGGTATTTGGAACACGCGTTTTATAGGATAGATGAAGTCAAAGATGTGGATACAAAAGAACAAAGTAAGTGTGATTCATTATTTATAGAATAGTTCAAGCATAGTCTACTCTCAATTTTATTTGAGAAGAAGGGTACTGTGACCTTTAGTATTTGATGTGTTATTTATAAGCATTATTAAAAAGTGCCTCGTGTGCCGAGTGGTCGCAAGTGCGACTGCCGGGCAAGGGGTCTCGGGTTCGATTACCGGGTCGAGCAAAGTATTACTGAGTTTTTAAAATACTCAAATGGCAATAGACTCACCCCCTATTGCATGGGACTCATAACATAAATAGTGAAAAGTGGGTGTAACATTGTATAGTGGCATTAAGTGCCGTAATGTGCACCTCTGCCTAATCCTTCGGGGATAAAAGGCGTGTTGTTATGTTATTAAAAATTGGAAATAATGTATGTTTGACTGAGGAAATTTACTACCTAATTAATATTAAAACATATGTAAGTCTTGAACAATAAATTTTAACGATTCTTATCAGTTATTAGGTCAATTAGTACATATTGTGTGTCGACTGGCGACTCAGTCGAGATAGGATACTTCGTAACTTCGCAAACAAGTCCTTGTAAGGCGGTAATAGGGTAGAATTTAGGTAACTATTTTCTGCGAACCTGTATGCCCTAGATCCACGCAATTATGGTCATTATCTAATATTTTGTCTAGACATATTAAATATACTAAGTTACCGTAAATTTCTCCTTATTAAGCGCTCGATATTGTAGGAATCTTACTTCTTATTGATATTATAAATGCGACGGTTTGTGTGTATGTTTGTTACAAAATACAGCAAAACAGCTGAAGGTATCCGGATGAAATGTGGAACAGGAGTTAATTATAACATAACATAACATCACGCCTTTTATCTTCGAAGGGGTAGGCAGAGGTGCACATTATACCACTGTACAATGTAACACACACTTTTCACTATTTATGTTACGAGTCCCATGTAATAGGGGGTGAGCCTATTGCCATATACCGGGCACAGTTCCAGACTCCGTGCTACTACTGAGATTTTTTAAAAAAACACAGTAATACTTTGCCCGACCCGGGAATCGAACCCGAGACCCCATACCTGGCAGTCGCAATTGCGACCACTCGGCCAACGAGGCAGAGTTAATTATAGTCTGAAATAATACATAGGCTACATATTACCCCACGGAAACGTAATTGTTTCCGATGGTATGTATCTCTCTAAAGACATTCTTGTGAGCGGACGGATCACCTGATGGTAAGCAATCAGTGCCTTTAGCCAAACGCCACTTTAGCGCTTGTCTACCGAGAGAGTAGAAAACTAAATGTATGGGGATGATACTGGCAAGTGTCAAAATTTACGTCAATTCTATGTAATTTGGTTTTGTATTCTACACGTTGACTGCCTCGTTGGCCGAGCGGTCGCAATTGCGACTGCCGGGTAAGGGGTCTCGGGTTCGATTCCCGGGTCGGGCAAAGTATTACTGGGTTTTAAAAAAAAAAATCTCAGTAGTAGCACGGAGTCTGGAACTGTGCCCGGTATATGGCAATAGGCTCACCCCCTATTACATGGGACTCATAACATAAATAGTGAAAAGTGGGTGTTACATTGTACAGTGGTATAATGTGCACCTCTGCCTACACCTTCGAGGATAAAAGGCGTGATGTCATGTTATGTTATGTATTCTACATGTAGACAAGCGCTAAATGGCATTTGACTGCAGCTGATGTACTGCCCATACCTGTCTTAACTCAGTCATTTACCGTATTCACAAATTATCATCAATTTAGGTCATGTAATAAGACAAAAAATATAATATGATTAGGCTGGAATTAAAACATAATTAAGATTAATACATAAATAAAGACAAAAACTAAAATGGTGATTAATGCCAAACCTTCTCCATGTGAGAAAAGGCTTTCGTCAGCAGTGGGCATTTATAGGCTTGACTGCACGGTTGGTGCGGGGGCTGGGCAACCGGCTGCCGTGCAACGTGTCGCAACGGTTCGATTCCCGCACTTTGTGTGATCCACAAAATGTTGTTTCGGGTCTGGGTGTCATGTGTATGTGAACTTGTATGTTTGTAAACGCACCCACGACACAGGAGAAAATCTTAATGTGGGGCAACGTTTTTTCAAAAAAAAAAAAAAAAATAGGCTGTTGATGATGATTTTGAATTAGCTAAATTATGTTTTCTTTTTCTGCAGTACTAGAAATACGAACAATGTACGTGTCGCAGTGCTACCTCAACATGGCGGCTTGTTACATGAAGTTAGAGGATTATAGGTCAACTGTCCAGTACAGTACTTCGGTGAGTATGTCTATTTTAAAGAGAAGACCTAGTTGCTTACTCTTGAAACCAATCTCAATGTCAATGCAATTTCAATCCAATAAAATCTCAATAATTATTCAATGTCAAAACTATACAACCCCCATCGTAGCTGTTAAAATAGCATTCAGAGTACAGAATATAAAGCCAACCTCGATACCATTTAGTTCATTCAATATCCGCGCAGTACGGGTGCAATGGGCGCTAGTGTTGCAACTCAAGAGTACGCAATTTCACAATACCAATATCGATCGATCGAAATTGGATTCAAGAGTAAGCCTACTAGTGCAAGTTGTTTTATACGTTAACGCAATCGAAACGTTACGCATTTAGCCCTTTGGTTGATTGGTCAATAATTTGAGCTGGCCAATCAGAGCGCCGGACGTCAAACATGTCGATAGCGTTAACGTAAAAAACTTACACTAGATTCTAAGAGTGCCAAGCACGAATAATAGGGATGATGACAGGGTATGAAAATTAAATTAGGCCGTCAGTTAGGTGATGAAAAAATATCAGACACGTATTTTTTTTATTTCGTCGTACACCAAAACAGTACTTAGATAAAACGGATCAAAGTTTAGGAGTGGGAGTAAAAACGTAATTTCTACGTATAAAACGTACATAGAAGTGAGTTCACGCGATATTTCAAAACAATATATCGTTGAAAGTATTTGTATCTGCAAGGAAATAAAAAAAATACGTGTCTAATGTTTAAAATAATCTACCAGACGGACATTAAAGTAAAAATTAGTCATGTACCCTAGATTGGTTGTATCACTGGGACCGGCTAGTTAGATAGGATAGTTATTCGTGCTTGGCACTCAGAATGTATAAAAAATGGTCTAATGGTCTAAAAGAAATTGCTATTTATCTTACTCTCAGTTAATACTATTTTTTACAGGTACTTGAAATAGACCCGAGAAATGAAAAAGCGTTATACAGACGCGGTCAAGCGAATTACGCTCTTAAAAACTACGACGACGCTCTCATGGACCTCAGATTAGCAGATAAAGTGTCCCCAAATAACAAGGCTGTGCAAAAACTATTAGATGAAGTAAGATTGACAAATAAAAGTTATAATGATGTACAAAAACAACGGCTTTCAAAATTTTTTCGTGAGCAAAAAGAGGCGTTTATCGAGATCACATGTGAGATCGCCGATCACTGAACTAAGACTGACGGTAGTTATACGTAGGCTTATGTAGACAATACGCTTTTTGAGGTCGTTTTGTACGGTCACTGCCGGTGTTGTCAGATGTACTGATTATAACATGATTTTCGATTAGTTTTTGTATATATTGTTTCCTTTGATATTACTGGATCACAGCTAATTTAAGTCGAAATTCAAATGAATTTGTACAGATATTTTGTTTATGATTTATTGGTGAGGTTGTCCGTAATTGTATTTAATAATCGGGCAACATCGGGTTTGTGGCCGAATGGCTTAGGGTTAGAATGTTTCGAGAAGGTACTAAACTAAGTGATGGCACAAGGAATTTTGTAAGAAAAATGAAGTTGTAGGTAAGTAACTTAGTACATTATTCCATTCAGGGCTCACTTATGTTTCTTACTTAGGACTTATGACCATTTTCAGTTTGAGACTGACCGTTAAAGACGAAAGCCTAACTTGCCTAACATTTAAATCAAAATTTTTATTCTTAACCAATGAATTTCTGCGTTTCAATGATTACAAAGTATACACATATAAAGAATAATTTGTATGTTGAACAATATACGTAATTTATTCTCTGAGGTAAAATGCCATGATATTAGTAAATGTGCTGGACACGCACTAAATTTCAAAGGTAGTGGATTAGAAATCAATATTTTTAAAAGATCATAATTATATTTGACCTTGTATTTGTCACTTTACAGACGTAACTAAAAATATATGTTGGAGTTTAGCACAAACACAAACACAAAGCGCTCTGATTGGTCGACTCCAATGATCCAACCAATCAGAGCGCAGATCTAAACTAAAGCCCTCTGGACTCATAAACATACCTAGTTGTACAAATATTTGATATGTATATTAAAAATTGTTTATTCTTCACTGACCTTCCCGTACGCTTGTCATAAAATTACATTAATATTTAGGCTTTCGTTTCCATCTACCAAAACAGTCGGATAATTAGATTATTTATTGCAATGATTGGTTTTATTAAATGACGACTGAAATTACAATTATGAATATTTTGTACCCTAAAATAACGTCGTAGTACTATGTGTCATAGGATACGGTTTTTATATCTATATTTAGGTGATATAAATTCGTATTATCTTGGTCTCGTTGTTGAATTTATTTAATAGAGAATGTAATCACAAATGACATGAGTTATTGTCTCTTAGTTTTGATAAGTGTGAGCAAATTATTATGATTTGCTGGTAAATTGTAATGGTTTAGTTTAGTTAAGGTTAGTTTTACTATGGAATACCAGCGGTTAGTGGTACACTGATATTTTTCTAAAACAATTTTCCACATCAGGTTGCGTTTTATTGGCTCTCAACGTTTTAGTTATTTGATAATATGTGGTAACGACAAACAAAAATAGTTGAATAAAACAGAACTTTATGGTATTGTGATAATGATAATATTTGCAGGCAAATTGATCAGAGCGACAAAGTACTGTTAAATATTTTTATAGTTTAATTTTTATTCATTGTTCTTATACAGACAAAAATAAATTCATTCTATTGGCAGATTACATTTTCAGAATTATACAAAATATGTGCTCGTGTACAGTTAATACGCAGGTAAGAAAGCAAAGATTGATTCAGTACAGAGACAGGAACCATTGGTTGGCTACTGTACCGAACGAACCCTGAACAGTGGTTACCAAAAATATGGCTTGATTAAAAACTATATCATCATTACATGGTATAAAACAAAGGCGCTATCCCCTGTCTGCTTGGGTCATCAAAACCACGTAACGGATTTTGATGCGGTTTTTAATAGTGATTCTTAAAGAAGGTTTATAAGTATAATACATGCATATTGCACCCGTTGCAAAGCCAGGGCGGGTCGCTAGTAATTAATAATAATAGCTACAGTCTCTATTCAGGGTAAATCTTTAGTTTCTTACTTATGTAGTAAATAACTGCCGACTGTACATTGTTTTACATTGATAATAATGTGAACAAATCATAAAATTTTAGTTAAAAGTGAATATTCTTGTGTAGAATTTAATTCTCAGATTTTAACTCGTATAGAGATCAAAATGTAAATAGATAAATAATAGCAATTTTATAATTCCAATTTTTATTTTTAGTATCTTTTTTTACTTTTCCATTACATGATATTATGTGTATGAAATGTGTTTTTCATGAGTATGAATGTATTCATTTTCTTTGTATAGAATTTTATCTATGCATCTTTTTATATTATCACATGTTTTCAGTAATATGTATATTATACATAATTATGTGTCAAGCTTCTCATAATAATTATAAGTAGCGATTTTTTGTGATAACTGTGACGTTCTTGTATTTTTATTGAATGTGTGTGAATATAATAATAATAAGCACCGCGCAGCGACGCACGTCGCGTTGCCTATTCGTTAAGTCCGCGCATGCTGCTCATAAAGATGAGTCCCTCTGTGACTCGAAACTAATAAAGCTTTCTCATTATTTCACGTGAGTAAACTGGTGTTTTTAATTTACGCTGAAATACTCAAACGTCATTCAATTTTAAGTCGCGCTTACCCGTTTGAATGCTCGGAGCATGGGACACAATAGAAAATACATTGTGTCTCACGTGGATCCACGTTAAGATACACGAAAGGTTAAGTATAGTTCTGTCACTACAAATTCTTTGTAAAATGACAGAGATGGCACGATATTTATGTACAACTTAATATTGAGTAGCCTTTCAGTATTCAGGCGTTATTATGTCTCACGATAGTTATTATTAAATATGAACTGTATGTATGCCATTCGTATGAACTACTTGTATTACCCATACCTATGAAATATAAGGACGTAACAAAAACAATAGGGTAGGTGCCTATTTTTATTTGAATGTCCGTCTGGTAGATTATTTTAAATCATTATACACGTATTTTTTATTTTCTTACAGAAACGAATACTTTCGGCGATACATTGATTTGAAATGTCACGTGACGTCACTTCTATGTATATTTTATGCGTAGAATTGACGTTTTAGTAAACGAATCAAAGTTTAGGAGTGGGGACTCCTAAACTTTGATTCGTTTTATCTAAGTATTGTTTTATTATACGACTAAATAAAAAAATACGTGTCTAATATTTTTTCAATACCATACTTACGGATTAATTAAATTTTTAATTTTCATACCCTGTCATCATCCCAATTCCACTTTCTTTTTTAAAAATGAAATAATATATGGGACGTAAATAAAAATAAGTGCTTCTTCTTCTTCTTGTATCTTATTATGTGGTGTATTCAAATCAAATTACAGATATTACTGTTTCAAGAAATATTTTTCTATAGTAATAAACACAAATACCATAGTAGGGTTGATTTTTGGTTATACCATAGGAACTTTCACATTAACTAATAACGCTAAAGTTACTTAGTTAAAAACATACTATACATGAGAAGTTTACAAACATATATATTATTATGTTTAATTCTGAATAAAGTATATATTTATAATCTATTTGTTTGTAATAGTAACAATGAATTCGTCGAAATAAATGTTTTATTAATTAGTCATTCCTGTGTGTTTATTAAATTTGAAGGGAAAAACAATTTGGCAATGTAATGTACAAAATAATTAAATATTATGTGAATTTCTCGTTTAGATATAAACTCGTAGATTTTACTTTCACTGGTCCTGGAGTTTCTAATTACATTATTGAAGACCGAAATTAAAAATTTGTCATTTATAGTTTGTATTTTAAATCTGTGGATATGGATCGATTTTTGTACAGAAACTGCATACAAGTAAATGTCAATAATCAATCCAAATTTACAGATTTTGGTTCGGTTATTAACTTCGGCCATTAGGGCCTCATTATGAATAAGCGCATCCTTCACAAACAATAGGCCGATTCAACGTTGCCGTTTCGTGGATAGTTTTTGACGTGACAACGTCTTATAAATTGGTTTGCTGGGTGACACTTCAAGAAACTGCGTTACGCTCCGCTCACGTTATGCGCTCACAATGAGAGCGAGTGAGAGGCACGCGTCTCTTCCACTCGGGCATGGTTAGCCCACCTAAGAGCGAGAGAGACAGACATAAAAAGTGAAAGGCACGCGTCCCTTCCACTCGAGCACAGTTAGCCCGCCTAAGAGCGAGAGAGAGAGAGTGAGAGAGATAGGCATACACACCGTTCATGTCTTGCGCTTCATTATTTCATCCTTCTTCCTACTATACGAATGAATATTCACATTAAAATTATTTTACCACTCAAAGTCGTTGTCACGTAAAACTTAGGCAACCAATTTTTTTATTGTTTCTAATCAAAATGCAAGCATTTGTCATTTATATTGTAGGCTGCCCATTGTTTGTGACGTCAAATGTTAAATGACGCAACGTGAACGGTTACCCTAAATTTAATTTTGATATCTAAGGACCGTGAAGCCGATGATTGTTAGGGTTTGGAATTAATGAACCTAAAACTTGTTTGTTTTGATTTAAAGCTCTTTTTGGATTGAGATCAATTATTATTAACTTTATTTCGGCCGTTACTTAATAGATTTTCAACCTAATTTTAAAAGAATAAAGTGGTATCAAACATATATTTTTGCCTACCACTGTCCAGACTACAGCCAGAAACAAAATATTATAATAATAAATTATAGTATATATAGTCTGAGAAACAAAATATACCTATACGGAGTAATCAATTTTTCTTTTAATTATTTCACGAACAAAACTTATATAATGTTTTTATCCTAGACTTAAGTAAAACACTGCCATGATAAAGTATTTTATTGGATAAAGAATTGTAAATAAAGATTGTAATTTTAATATTAAGATGTGCTGGATTAATTTAATAAAAAAAATTGTAATTCAACTTTTGTAAGGAAATACATAACATGGCGAAAGAAAGCGGTTTTGTCATTTCGTGGAACGTGTAAAGTAAATGCGAGTTTATTAAAAAACTAGCTTTTACCCGCGGCTTCGCTCGCGTCACAAAAGGATAAAAGTAGCCTATGTGACATATACCAATACACACAGCGCC